TCGTCACTCTGAGCCGCCGTGCTCGTCTTAAAATCCAGTGTTACGCTAAGTAACAACTGAACCTCGTCGTCGGTCCAAGAAAAGAGTTTTTACACTCGCCATCTCCCTCGACTCAAAATCACTTCAGACTTCCTTGTTTTTACTGCTCACGTGACATCGGGACGTCGTGACACCAGCCTTAGAGTGACCATATTTCCGTTTGTGAAAACCCGGACACCTTGGGGGGGGGTCCTCACCGTTTTGCGGATTTATTTTTATTTTTTTACAGCATATGAACGCGTATTGTGTATTAGAGGCGGGTAGTAATTACACACGGGTAAGTCAGGAGTAAACCAGGTCTAAACCAGGACTAATCTTGGATTTAAGAGAGAGAACGCAGAGCAGTTTGTCGGGCAATTGTCGCGTTTACCTCCGTGAGGTGCGGAGCTGAGCCGGTCCTTTCTCCTGTGGTCACTTCCGAGCTCGTCCCGACAGTGAGTCCTGTTTCAGTCCTGGTTTAGTCCTGTTTTAGTCCTAGTTCAGTCGTGGATTAGTCCTCCTCTTCAGTCTTGGAATCAGTCCTGGGTTAGTCTTGGTTCAGTCTTGGTTCAGTCTGTGCCGTAGGCAGCGTAAAAGTTTGATATAATCTCAGGTTAACGGGCAGGTGCGGTCCTGTACTGGCGGGTGCGGTGTTGTACTGGGGGTCTCCAAAAATGGAGCCGTGCAGTTCTCTGCGCTGTAGCTCCATTACGGAATAAATGAATCTTCAGTTTGTTACATAAAGAAGGAGGAAAAACCCGGACATTTGCATCACTTCATAAAAAAACCCCGGACGCCCAGGACAAGACGCAAAATACGGACATGTCCGGGGAAAAATGGATGTTTGGTTGCCCTAACCAGCCGATCACGTGACTAGTGCTGCAGGTGGTTTTGTGTTACTGTGTGGACAGGGAACGCTTTGATTGCACACAGTGTAATCAAAGTTTCAGTGTAAATGGGGTCTAAAATCACCACTGTGGTTGTTCCACAAACTAACTCTACCAGAAACACAATCACTTTTTAAAGATGCTAGTTTAGTTTAGTTTTAACGAAGGCACAAAAGTTTTTCGTTTATGATCGTGCAAAATAAACCACAATGAGAATGAAAAAATTTACGGATTTTTGTTTTCGTTTATGGTCGAAAAATGCCTGTTTTTCTGTTTTTCTAGATATTTTTGAGCTATAAAACCACCTGTAATTGAATAAATGTAAAGTAGAGCTGTTTAATGTCACACTGTGGAACATTCCAGGCCATAGTAATGACGACGAAAGACAAAATCTGCCGCTGTGGTCTGTCATAATCTGGAGGTGTCGACAGAACGTGGTGATTTGTTTTGATGACGTTTACGGCGACGCATCCTGAAGGGCCGGGGATTCACAACTTTCCAGAAATCCAGCGGAAGTAGTTTTAGATCGGGATTGCGATTTAAAAATGCCCAACATCCAACATAATGACCCCCGGGCGTGTTTACAGCCCTGGAAGTCCAAACAGGAGGGGTCGGATGTTTAACTGAAGTGAAGTGAAAGATAAGTTCTCGCTCTTATCGTACGGAAACCTCAGAGGAAGACACTTGTTCACGACATAAAACCATCTGTGTGAGGACATTCTAGAGAATGTTCGCTCTCAAGGTAAAGGCTACGTGGGAGGATTATGTCATCTCAGAAGCTTTACCTGTGAGTCTGTACATTCTGATCTAATATTGATTTGAGCGAGAACAGCTCTAATGCTCGATTATTTTAGTTATAAAACCAGTGTTCCGGCCTGGACTGGTAATCGAGAACACTGGGCATTTTCCCCAGTGGACCGACGGTCCTCAGGGGCCGATTTAGACGAGACCAATCAGGATACAGTTGCGTACGAAAGCGGCCCCAGCCCTTCCCCGCACTGATCCCCACCAGTTTCATAGCGTCGAGCGTGGGAGAAAACTAAGAGGAAGAAAGGGCGAGGTCTAAACCAGGTCTGAACCAGGACTGAGTCAGGTCTTAAACAAGTCTAAACCAGATCTGGATCAGGTCTGAACCAGATCTAAACCTGGTCTAAACCAGGACTGTGCCAGATCTAAACCAGGTCTAATTTAGGTCTGAACCAGGTCTAAACCAGGACTGAATCAGGTCTAAATTAGATCTAAACCAGGTCTAAACCAGGACTGAATCAGGTCTAAATTAGATCTAAACCAGGTCTAAACCAGGACTGAACCAGGTCTAATTTAGGTTTGAACCAGGACTGAGTTAGGTCTTAAACAAGTCTAAACCAGATCTGGATCAGGTCTGAACCAGCCAGGTCTAAACCAGATCTGAACCAGATCTAAACCAGGTCTAAACCAGGACCGAACCAGGTCTAATTTAGGTCTGAACCAGGTCTAAACCAACTCTGAATCAGGTCTGAACTAGGACTGAACAAGGTCTAAATTAGATCTGAACCAGGTTTAAACCAGATCTAAACCAGGTCTAAACCAGGACTGTGCCAGATCTAAACCAGGTCTAATTTAGGTCTGAACCAGGTCTAAACCAGCTCTGAATCAGGTCTGAACCAAGACTGAACGAGGTATGAACTAGGTTTAAACCAGGACTGAATCAGGTCTAAATTAGATCTAAACCAGGTCTAAACCAGGACTGAACCAGGTCTAAACCAGGACTGAATCAGGTCTAAACCAGATCTGGATCAGGTCTGAACCAGCCAGGTCTAAACCAGATCTGAACCAGATCTAAACCAGGTCTAAACCAGGTGTCTAAACCAGGACTGAACCAGGTCTAACTTAGGTCTGAACCAGGTCTTAAACAAGTCTGAACCAGATCTAAACCAGGACTGAACTAGGTCTAAACAATTATAATTACAGTAGTTATTATTTGTAGTATTAGTAATTCGCTTCAGGGAACATGTCCTTAAATTATTCGGTTGTGTTGTGTTAATTATGAGGTGCCGGTCTAAGCCAAAAACGACTGGGCCGTTGTTGTTTTTTTGTGTTTTTTTGTCCCAGTCCAGTCCTGCCAGTGTTTTTACAGTATTTAACAGGAGCTTTCAAACCAGCCTGGGTCTGAGTTTGTGTCCTCTGTCTGCAGGTCACAACAGCAACAGGTTCATTTATGATTGTAGTATTGTTTTGAAAATGGAACTAAACACCGAATTTACTTTTTTTTGCTACTAAACTGTGCATATGTTGTTTTAGCCGCATTATCTCCTGTTCCTTGTCATGTTTGGATGACTTTGCATCTTTCTGGTCAAAAATCTAAACCTAAATCGAATTAGTACGAATCCTCTAATCTAATGTAAATGTATAATCTAAATCTCCCTCCGGTGCCTCTGCAGTGTCCAGTAGTTGGTGACATCACACAGCACTGTTCTGATCACACACGCTGGTTTCTGATACAAATGCGGGGTGAAATTTAGACCAATCACAATGTTCCTTATATCTCCAGAACTCCCCTACACCCCCAAACCCATTCTTCCCTTTAGTCCTCCAGAACCCCCCCCCCCCCACACACACACACACACACACACACTCTCCCCTTTCGTCTTCCATACCCCACACCTGACTCTCCCCTTTACTCCTACATACCCCCTCCTCCCCCCTCAGTCTCCCCTTTTAGTCCTCCAAACCTCCCTCCCTCACACTTCCCTTTAGTCCTCCAGACCTCCCCTACACACTACCTTTTAGTCCCAGACCTCCCCCCTACACACTACCTTTTAGTCCTCCAGACCTCCCCTCCCCCTTTTAGTCCTCCACCTCCCCCTTTTCCCCAGTCCTCACTCCCCCTCCCCCCCCTTTAGTCCTCCAAACTCGTTCCCTCCTCCCCCTTTCACTCTCCCCTTTAGTCCTCCAAACTCTGTCCTTCCTCCCCCTTTCACTCTCCCCTTTAGTCCTCCAAACTCTGTCCTTCCTCCCCCTTTCACTCTCCCCTTTAGTCCTCCAAACTCTGTCCTTCCTCCCCCTTTCACTCTCCCTTTTAGTCCTCCAGACCCCACCCCGTCTCTTCCCCTCACTCTTACCTTTAGTCTTCCACACCCCACCCCTCAGCCTCCCCTTTAGTCCTCTAAACTCCATCCCTCCTCCCCGTCGCTCTCCCCTTTGCTCCTCCGAACCTTGCACCTCACTCTCCCCTTTATAGTTCTCCAGACCCCACCCCTCCTCCCCGTCACTCTCCCCCTTTAGTCCTCCAATCTCCGCCCCTCCTCCCTCGTCACTCTTCCCTTTAGTCCTAATTAAAGGTTGTATGGAGGATTTTTGTTTGTTTGTTTGTTTGTTTCAAATTGTCAATGAAAGTTCAAAATAGAATTATAGAAATGCAGCAGCCTTGTAATTATGATGACCAAAAAAAAAAAAAAAAAAAAGAATGAACAGATAAACATCAGCCAATAGACAACGAGGCTCCCTCTTTATCTATTGGCTGTTAGGTTGTCAATCAAACTCCCTATGTTTCTACATTTTTGGCTTGCCGACACGCTGGGATTGCATGGTTTATGTTCGCCTCTCACGCACTGATGCCATTTACTCAACCAGCACAGCGGTTCTTGGCGTCTTTTTCGAACTAGCTTCCTTTCAGTTTGCACAAATTTTGTTTTAATGACAGACAAGAATTCACGACTAATTCGCCGCAAAAGAAAGTCCATTTTTGACTTCACTGAAAGAAGAAGAGAAAGGAAAAGGAGCGAAGCACAACATTTTAAAAAGGACAAACAGTTGCTGCATTTCTCTTTCCTTGGAAAATCTTCTATACAACCTTTAACGCGTCACCTCACATGTCTGAGTAAAAATGAAAGTGATAAAAAAAACGCCACTTTACAGTTCGGTTTCCTTTTCGAGTTTTTAAACCGAAATTATTTTTGCGTTTAATTTTATTCTGCTCTTGTGCTGAACAGTGAGTCTAACGTTGTCCTCTTGTGTCCTCCCCCTTGTGTCCTCCCCCTTGTGTCCTCCCCCTTGTGTCCTCCCCCTTGTGTCCTCCCCCTTGTGTCCTCCCCCTTGTGTCCTCCTCGTGAACAGTCATCTACATCTGCGGGCCCCTGGACACGTTCCTGATGATCATGAAGCTGTTCCAGAGCGAGATCAGCGACCCGGAGAACTACGCCATCTTCTACCTGGACGTGTTCGCCGAGAGCCTGCAGAGCCAACGCCGGCCCTGGCACAACGCCGACCCGGACTGGGCCGACCCGATCCAGCTCTTTAAGGTGAGCGCATGACCCGAGTGACCGGACTCCCCTGTCGACCCGGGACAGTCCCGGTTTTGAGCCTGTGTCCCCCGTCCCAGAAGATTTGTATATAAAACCAGTGATTTGTCTCAGTTTTATACAAGAAATGTTGATCTAAACCAGGACTAAACCAGGATAATATCAGGTCTAAACCAGGACTAAACCAGGATAATATCAGGTCTAAACCAGGACTAAACCAGGATAATATCAGGTCTAAACCAGGTCTAAACCAGGATAATATCAGGTCTAAACCAGGACTAAACCAGGATAATATCAGGTCTAAACCAGGACTAAACCAGGATAATATCAGGTCTAAACCAGGACTAAACCAGGATAATATCAGGTCTAAACCAGGACTAAACTAGGTCGAAACTACTAAACAGGACTAAACCAGGACTAAACCAGGATAATATCAGGTCTAAACCAGGACTAAACCAGGATAATATCAGGTCTAAACCAGGACTAAACCAGGATAATATCAGGTCTAAACCAGGTCTAAACCAGGATAATATCAGGTCTAAACCAGGTCTAAACCAGGATAATATCAGGTCTCAACCAGGACTAAACTAGGTCGAAACTTGGACTAAACCAGGACCAAACCAAGTCTAAACCAGGACTAAACCAGGTCTAAACCAGGACTAAACCAGGACTAAACCAGGTCTAAACCAGGATAATATCAGGTCTAAACCAGGTCTAAACTAGAGCTAAACCAGGACTAAACTAGGTCTAAACTAGGACTAAACCAGAACTATATCAGGTCTATTTCAGGTCTAAACCAGGACTAAACTAAGTCGAAACTTGGACTAAACCAGGACCAAACCAAGTCTAAACTAGGTCTAAACCAGGACTACAAGTCTAAACCAGGACTAAACCAGGCCTAAACTAGGGCTAAACCAGGACTAAACCAGGACTACACTAGGACTAAACCTGGACTAAGCCAGAACTAAAACAGGACTGAACAGGTCTAAACCAGCTATAAACCAAAATTGAACCACGACTAAACCCGGTCTCAGTCCTAGTCTCAGTCCCGGTTTAAATTCTGGTCTCAGTCCCGGTCTGGTCCCGGTTTCCTGATCACCCGACAGTCTACACGGGCGCACGTCCGGGCCAGTCCCGACACTCCTGGTTCAGTTCTGGTTTAGTCCTGGTTTAGGAACGAGACTTAGACATGAACTAAGACTAGGACAGAGACCGATTTAGACCTCGTTTAGAGCTGGTTTAGTCCTGTTTTAGTCCTGCTGTAGTCCGTATGTGGCGCAAAAGTCCGGCACAAAATCGAAAAATAAAAAAAAAGGAATCTGTTTTTTCAATTTGGTTTGGGAGACAAATCATGAAAAAAAAAACGTAGTTTTTTGTTTTCTTATTTTTGGTTTTATTTTGAAAAACGAATGAACTGCTGAGCTTTCTATCAGGAACTCACTGCTGCTGCTCAGACATAAATCCTTCAAATGCAAAGTTGGTTTTACTTCTGAAATTATTCTATGGACACAGACGTTCACATGGACAGTCTGGAGTAATAATAGATTTTCTTCGGTGTTTTGTGGAGCGGGTAAGAACTACTGTATGACCGTTGACATGCACTAGTCTAACACCAACGACCAACACTCTAGATCACGAGGTAATGAGGCCCAATGTCCAAAAATCCGAACTGTTCCTTTAATTATACCATCAAATTACCTGAGAATACATTTTATCTAACCACTCATAACTTTCCAACCATAAAAGACGGAAACTTAAACGATAAAACGAGTGTCCAGTAGGAACTTTGTTTTCCTCCAAACTCATGCGCTCCGTCCATTTTGATTGGTCCAAACTTTGCCAAAGAGCGTAGTGAGTCAAAATGGTCGATGCTCTGAGCGTCTGTGTTCAGAACAATTTAAAAAGTCGCAGATGTTTCTCGAATAAATGGACCAGTAGAGATGAACCAGGAGAGATGGATAGAGATAAAGATGCCAGATCACTTTCGTTTGCTGTTTAGAGCCCGAAGCTCGTCCTCCCGGTGGAACACAGACTCCATACCATTTCCATTTAAGACCTGGAAAGATGCTCTGCTAATTTTAGAATTTCACAAAGTCTAAAAGGAGCAGTGATGGGCAGGCCGGACAAAAACACCACTGTGATGTAGAAAGTGTTAAACGCGAAGCTTTCATCAGAACTTACAGAGTTTTACAAATTCTGCACTCGGTTCTCCAGTGCAATATAGAACAATACAGAAGAACTCAAACATGTACGACTCAATCCAAATACAACTGTGAGTACGGTAAAGATGAACGAAAACTATTCTAACATGATTACAAGCTCATAAAACTTTAAGGATAATATGTCTCATCACATTCTGAGATGCTTAATGCTCGTCTAGAGGTCGTTTATTTTAAGAGAACTTCAAGTAAAATAATCTTGCTGCACGGACACATCATTTCAAAACTTTTAAGACATTTTCTGATACATTGAAGTGTTTATATCTTAAATTTTGGCCAAGATTTTTGCAGTGAGAAGACCCGATGGTGTTTAAAGTGTTTAAAGTAAACTGGAAAATGTCTGTTGTTCAGTTGTGTTGTGTTATTGTGATATTTTATGTAGGCGAACAAAACTGTGGACATGCTACTTTTCTCTCGTCATAAAACAAATAATTAAGATTTAAAAGCGCTTAATAATAATTTCAGCATGTAGATTGGACTGAAACAGAGCAAAGGATCATGGTCTATGTAGTTCCCTCAGTTTTTTTTAGCTGTTGCTGCACCAAAACAATGAATTTAAGCAAAGAGACTTGTGATTCGATATATCGTGATGGTCCACGATATTAATGTGAGACTTTTGACGAGACGATATCACAATATTTCGGATACGTCTCTTATTTTTCACATCAAGTACATTGTTAAAAATGAACTAGAATATATATATGATTGAGGGCCACACGACAACGCTTTTGGTCGAAACGGTGAAGTTTTTATTTGTTTTGGCCTTTCGCCCACACGGAGCTGGCGTTTCGTGTGGGCGAAAATGGTGTTTTTTAAGAACAGGTTCCAGAGTGGAGAAATCTGAGAATGTCGGCATTGCAGTGCCATGCAGATTACACACACGGATCAATAACAAAAATGATGCATAAGTAATTAAACTGTTGCATTTTGAAACAAAGTTATTCTAATAATTCTCAACCAAATCTTATGACTAAAAACGAAAACTTATGTTTAACTTTTGCAAAACAAAACGGCGATATTTCTGGGATACATCTAAACTCGATTAAATTACCTTAAAGTAAAAAAAAAAAACTGTGATGGGATTTGCATTATTAAATATTATTATCATTGTTACAGCGCCACATACAGGTGTGGCAGGTGTATTACATCGTTTTCACTCAGTGCTCTGTTGTCGTCTGGATGTGAAGATTTATTGATCCGACACGTGTGAGAACGCAATTTTTTTCAGCCCGTAAAAAAAATTAAAATCTAGGAGCGTTGTCGTGTGGACGTAGCCTAAAACACAATGTCTAAATTGGAAATCCCTCCCCTCCCTTAGAACTGCACCCTCTGTGATCTCAATGGAACTGGGACATTTTTACTTATTGTCTGGGGTTGTACAAAAGTAAATACTAAAGACTTTTTTTTTAAATAAACAGGATTGAACAATCGATCTCATTCACAAACATACAATGCCCAAATAAAAAGAAACCAGACTTCTCCTTTATAGAGTCTTACAAGCATTTATTTTTCAAAATGCCACCTCCCAGGCGACGTTTATGATGAGGGTCTGAACAAAAGACGCAAAAGTGGCATCTCGTCTTCACTTTTTATTCCATGTTTAGACGAGTGTTTACGCAAAAGTGTGTGGAATTGGAATTGTGTGTGATGCTATGTTTCTGTGTCCTGTATGTTTGTGACGTAAACACGTACGCGACCTGAGCAGATCTGACCAGAGTTTTGCGTCTTGGGCAGTGTAGACGGAAACACTACGGCGGAGTGTATTAAAACTTTTCCTTTTTTCTGGAGGGTGGTTTCAGATTTTTACATTTTTAAGCCCCGAAAACTGCTTCACCGTCTAAACAAAAGACACTTCCGATAAAATATTTTGTCGTTCTCGTGTGAACAGACCCTCATTTTAAAGGTGCATAGTGTAACTAGGCCAAGTTACAGGTCAGATCTGTGGAGAGGCGAGCCCGCGACCATCAGAAGCCTGTTTTTCTAAGTATTTTTGAGCTATAAAACCAGCTGTAATTGACTAAACGTAAAGTAGAGCTGTACAATAACACTCCGAACCATGACGTATCCATGGAAACGAGCAGGTGACGGAAACCCAACCATAAAAAGTTACACAGTTCCCCTTTAAGAGCTCAAAAAGTCAATACAGCAAAGTCTCCATTAGATTCCCTGAGCTGGGTCCTTATCTGTTTGCTGTTTTCTTATCAACATGTTACGAAAAACTAAAGTCTAAAGTTCAAACAAACATTTTAACATTTCGTTTTCATTCCTCCGCCCGAGCGTTTGACCCCGGCCTCGGCCCACATCGCGTCGTCTCGTCCGCTCGTGATGGTGAAACGTGGCTCTTAACCGTTTTGTTGTTTTGTTTTTCGCCGTTTTGTCTCAGTGACGCGTTTGTGCACGAACAGGCCCAGAGGAAGCCGCTCGTTTATCGCTAATGCTTTTCCGTGCGCGTGTGTGGGGGCGAGAGCGTGTGTCGTAATGACCCGCAGTGACCCGTCAGTGACCTCGCTGCAGACCAGGTTTTGGCCCCTGGTCCTGGCTCCGGTCCCGGCTCTGGTCCTGGTTCCGGTCCTGGCTCCGGTCCAGACCCTGAGTGCCTGTATCAGCCCCAGCAGAAGTCATTAAGTGTGATTAGGCTTTGTGAGAGCTGCTGTTACGTGTTTGTGGAGCTTGGAGGGACACAGAAGTAACTAAATACAAATACTTAAGTAAAAGTAGACCTGTACTTGTACTGCGTTACATTTAAAGTGACTGAAAACGCTGTACTAGTCCCAAACACAACCACTATACAAACACAACACGACACAGTACGTAGGGCTGAGCAAAAATATTGAAATACCAATATATCGTAAGGGTGGGCAAACTACGGCCCGGGGGCCATATGCGGCCCTTTAATCTTTTTAATCTGGCCCGCTGAATTTGAACAAGAACAAGCACAACAACAACAATTACTACTACTACTACTATTATTATTACTATTACTATAACTACTACTACTATTATTATTACTATTACTACTACTACTACTACTACTACTACTACTACTACTACTACTACTACTACTACTACTACTATACTACTACTACTACTACTACTACTACTACTACTACTACTACTACTACTACTACTACTACTACTACTACTACTACTACTACTACTACTACTACTACTACTACTACTACTACTACTACTACTACTACTACTACTACTACTACTATACTACTACTACTACTACTACTACTACTACTACTACTATACTACTACTACTACTACTACTACTACTACTACTATTACTATTACTACTACTACTACTACTACTACTACTACTACTACTACTACTACTACTACTACTACTACTACTACTACTACTACTACTACTACTACTACTACTACTACTACTACTACTACTACTACTACTACTACTACTACTACTACTACTACTACTACTACTACTACTACTACTACTACTACTACTACTACTACTACTACTACTACTACTACTACTACTACTACTACTACTACTACTACTACTACTATACTACTACTACTATTACTACTACTACTACTACTACTACTACTATTACTATTACTACTACTACTACTACTATTATTATTATTTTCAGTGTTTTAAAAGTCATTTTAATAAATATTAAATACTGTGGGATTTGAAATACAGATATTTTGTTGTTGCTTTGTAAGGATTTTCAATTATGGGATATTTCAAAAACACGGGAGATGTTTTCTTCATGTCCCGTCTTATTTTTTGAGGTGGATTACCAAAAAACTCCACCCGTCTTCTCCAGGCCCTAACGTCAAATTTTAGAACCCTTTGTGGCCCTCGAGACAAAAAGTTTGCCCAAACCTGGTTTAATGTTTATTTTATTTATTTACTGAGACATGGACAGTGCAGGATGTACATGAACCTCAACAGGACAGAGGCTTTGTACCAGGATCGCCTTGTGATGTGAAGATACAGTATCGATATCCTGAGCTGCTGTATCGATAGTATTTTTTGGTATATTTTACAAAATTATTTTGTTAAAGCGCTTCAGTTTTGTAGCCTGATTCATCAGACAGTTTCACTTCATAGAAACCGTCTGACCTCACAGCATTAGGATTCATTCGCTTGACGGTAGGCGGATACTTTTTTAAAATTTAACCAGTCGTTGCTGTTTGGTCGTGACGTATGTAATGCGCCGCTAACAGGCTTAACTGGTATATTAAGCTTTTCCCAAATAAATAAGAAGGACAATAACGTCTTTCCCCTTAATGAAATTCACCAAACATTCTCTTTGTTCCGGCTTTAAATCCTCGATCTCTGGAATCGTTGACGACACAGAATGTCTGTCTCTTCGCTTCGTGTCTCTTTTCGCTGATTAGCTGGTGCCCCAACTTACATTTTGGGGTTTTTGCAAACCGTCTAGTGTATAGGCGAGTTTCAGCTGACGTCATTGTTATTAAAAGCCCGCGTTGCTGCTGGGAAATATTTTGGTCGGAGGCAAGAAACACGGTAGCGTCAAACAGTGCGTAACCTCGCGTATTCCTGCTGCATTATCGGATGCACAAATAGAAGCACGGAAGAAGGAAAATGTCTTTTTCGTATTCTGAGTGAAAAGAACCGCTAACGGTGAATTAAACGGCTTTCAAACATCCGCAGAGCAAACGTAGAAGATCCTAACAAACCGTGGACTCCAACAAGTTCAACAACACATCGAGACTCTTGGAGGTTTTCATCTTTTCTGCTGTGAATGGCCCAGGAGTTTCCACCAAGTCATTGTGGATGTCGCCCAAGTGAATATTTGTCCAGGTAGTTGGAGATTCTGACCAGAAATTTGGTTTGTTCCACCTTTTGTCGGGGTTGAAAAGGGTGATTTGTCGTCCGTCGATGCTTATGACCAATTTCTGGTCAAATGGTCTTGGGTCCTCTGCCGTTAGAGTGGATAAATAACCGGGATCAATACCCTTTACGTGCTTTCTCGCTCCGTCCGTCATGTTGAATTAGTGTTTCTTGTCGCCGACCAAAATAATTCCCAGCATGCAACGCGCGCTTTTGTCAACAATGAAACTCGCCTTTTCTGATTCCTGATCTAGTCGCTGGAGAGAAATTAAATTGAGGAGAGGCACTCGGCGGCGCCAGCCTGGCTAAAAGGAAACTCATTTATGCAACACATTTCACATTTTCGCTGTTTTTATGATTAAAATGTTTGAGTTTCATTATCAAATCAAAAGTGCACTTTGTCAAGATATGTATCGTATCTGCAACTTGTTAATGATACCAGCCCTGACAGTTTGATTGATCAGGTTTAATATTAAACGCTGACGATTCTTCAACTGTGTTAAAAATTAACTACTGACATTTGTTTCATGTTTACTTTTTACTTAAGTACATTTTTGGCAGCACTAACAAATTGTAAACACTTGTGAACATTATATATGACCCATAACTGCACTTTTACTTGTGTACACAGTCTGCAGCAGTAAAATGGATGAACTGTCCACCAAAAATCAGCACAAATCTTTATCAGTATCACTGCTTACAGGTATTTCAACACTTTAAAGCAGTGTTTCCCAAACTTTTGTTCCGTGGACCCATATTTTAAAAGTGACAAACCTTCGCGACCCAAGTCAATAGACATTATTTATAAATCACAAAATAAAGACGGATTTGAACACAGACTAGAACAGAACAGAACAGAACAGAACAGAAAGCCTTTACTGTCTTTATACATAGATGCAGAGCTGCTCCTTCAAGAAAAACAAAAAAACATCATTGAACATTAATGTTGAATAACGGTCAGGACTAAAACAGGACTAAACCAGGACTGAACCAGGACTGAACCAGGACTGAACCAGGACTAAGTGTTGGGACGAGCCCGGAGGTTCGCCCACGTAGACCATTGGGTGACAGATGTGGACACCTGCTCCGTGGGCTTGGGTTCTCCCTCTCTCAAGTCCAAGATTAGTTCTGGTTCAGTCCTGGTTTAGTCTTGGTTTAGTCCTGGTTCAGTCCTGATTTTAGACCTGGTTTAGTCCTGTTAAATCCTGTTTGAGACATAGTTTAGACCTGGTTTAGACCTGGTTTTAGACCTGGATTAGACCTGGTTTAGACCTGATTTTAGTCCTGGTTTTAGACCTGGTTTAGACCTGGTTTAGACCTGGTTTGGACCTGGTTTAGACCTGGTTTAGACTTGGTTTTAGACCTGGTTTAGACCTGGTTTAGACGGTTTACCTGGTTTAGGGTTTTAGACCTGGTTTAGACCTGGTTTAGACCTGCTGGTTTTAGACCTGGTTTAGACCTGGTTTAGACCTGGTTTAGACCTGGTTTAGACCTGGTTTAGACCTGGTTTGGACTTGGTTTAGTCCTGGTTTAGTGTCCGGCAATGAGTGGAATTACCAAAAAAAAAAAAATAATAAAATAAAAAAGTGAAAATAGGAAAATCCCTCTGTGTGTAATCCATTTATTTCAACAAAGTAACTGTAATCCAATTACCCACTCACTGAAACAGTAACTGTAACTGAATACAGTTACTCATCATTTGTACTCTGATTACTTAACTCTGGTACATGTAATCTGTTACTCCCAACACTGAGTATATTACCCCCTGTGGAGACTCAGGTCACTCAGGGAGGACGTGATGATCCCTCAGAACATCTGGACGTCTTCTTCTTCTGTGTGTTGTTTGTGTCGTTCCTGGTGTCTCCTCAGGCTCTTCTAACTGTTTGTCTTTGTGCTCCTCAGTCGGTGTTTGTGATCACGTATCGGCCCCCGGACAACCCCGAGTACCAGGCCTTCCAGAGAGAGCTCCACGCTCGAGCTCACCGGGAGTTTGGCATCCACCTGCAGCCTTCACTGGTCAGTATCTCCAACGATGTTCACTCCTCCACTCATTACATCATCTGTTTTTAATGAAATATCCAGAAGAATCCATAACTGAACTTTGTGTGTGTTTTTGTTCCATAAGTAAAAGGTCAGTAATTCCAGAAATATGAACCAAAACCTTTTTAAACATCTGCATTTGATACTTTGGGTTTCTTGGCCTCCTAGACGACTTGAAGTTCCTCCAGGTCCTGCCCAGATTAGCAGCTCTGTTTGTGGTTGTGGGAGGAGTTTAGGCGTTTTGTTCCACTTTAAATCAGTGTTTCCTAAAGACTGGTTCACGACCATTTAGGAAACGTAATACAGACACAGTAAAGTACTGCAGTAATACAGACGCAGTAAAGTACTGCAGTAATACAGACGCAGTAAAGTACTGCAGTAATACAGACACAGTAAAGTACTGCAGTAATACAGACGCAGTAAAGTACTGCAGTAATACAGACGCAGTAAAGTACTGCAGTGATACAGACGCAGTAAAGTACTGCAGTAATACAGACGCAGAGTAAAGTACTGCAGTAATACACAGTATACAGACAGCAGTAAAGTACTGCAGTAATACAGACGCAGTAAAGTACTGCAGTAATACTGCAGACGCAGTAAAGTACTGCAGTAATACAGTAACTGCAGCAGTAAAGTACTGCAGTAATACAGACGTACTGCAGTAAAGTACTGCAGTAATACAGACAGCAGTAAAGTACTGCAGTAATACAGACAGTACTGCAGTAAAGTACTGCAGTAATACAGACAGCAGTAAAGTACTGCAGTAATACAGACACAGTAAAGTACTGCAGTAATACAGTACGCAGTAAAGTACTGCAGTGATACAGACAACTGTAAAGTACTGCAGTAATACAGACACAGTAAAGTACTGCAGTGATACAGACAGCAGTAAAGTACTGCAGTAATACAGACGCAGTAAAGTACTGCAGTAATACAGACACAGTAAGTACTGCAGTAATACAGACAGACAGTAAAGTACTGCAGTGATACAGACACAGTAAAGTACTGCAGTAATACTGCAGAGACACAGTAAAGTACTGCAGTAATACAGACAGACAGTAAAGTACTGCAGTAATACAGACAGACAGTAAAGTACTGCAGTAATACAGACACTGCAGTAATACAGACGTAAAGTACTGCAGTAATACAGTAAAGTACTGCAGTAACACAGTAAAGTACAGTAATACAGTAAATACTGCAGTACAGACACAGTAAAGTACTGCAGTAATACAGACACAGTAAAGTACTGCAGTAATACAGACGTAAAGTACTGTAAACACAGTAAAGTACTGCAGTAATACAGACACAGTAAAGTAAAGTACTGCAGTGTAAAGTACTGCAGTAATACAGACAAAAAGTGTACAAACACAATAACTGCAGAAAACTCTTCATATTTACACGTCACAGTGATTTGGAATCTTTGCTCTGTCGACTTTTTAAATCACCGAGGTCAGAGTCGCGCCGTTTCAGGAAAAGGGGCGTGTCACACGTGTCACAAAGGAACTTCCTCAGAAAAGCAATTCGGAAGGAAAATCGGACGCGGTAAAAGAAACAAAATTCATCAGATAAAAAGAGTTATTAACGCCCAACATGAGCCTCGTATTTAGTCAAACATTCCAGGAAAAATCTGTCTGTGTACAAAACTCTCGTGTAAAAAACTTTTTCTATGAATTTATCCTTCATAACAAGTCCAGATCTTTTTAAGCTCTGCCTTCAACTTATATAATAATAATAATAATAATAATAATAATAATAATAATAATAATAATAATAATGTTGTCAAGGCTCAGTCAAGGCTCCACAAATGTTTCTTTTTTTTTACTCTCGCTCCTTTTCTCCTCTGGGAATTTAAATCAAGTGTTTAGAAAAAAATCTGTATTTGTACTTGAGGAAAATAGTTTGAATATTTAGAGAAGTGAAAGTTTGATAACCAAGATTAGGTTTAATATAAATGACCAGGGACCAGATTTTCAAAAGTAAAACTCAGGTTTGGATGGTCGGTATAAATCAAATTGTGGAAAAAAACCTTGTAGCCTTGTCCATTCTAGACTCACGTGTGGGTTGATCATAATCCAAGAGACAAAATAAACAAGCTCAGTCTTCACTATTTTGTCTAAACAAATGCAATTTATGTTCCTCTGCTTTAGACCTGAAATAGACCTGGTTTAGTCCTGATTTAGTCCTGGTTTAGCCATAGTTTAGACCTAGTTTAGTCCTGGTTTAGCCCTGAAATAGACCTGATTTAGTCTTGGTTTAGACCTTGAATAATCCTGGAATAGTCCTGAAATAGACCTGGTTTAGTCTTGGTTTAGACCTTGAATAATCCTGGAATAGTCCTGAAATAGACCTGGTTTAGTCTTGGTTTAGACCTTGAATAATCCTGGAATAGTCCTGAAATAGACCTGAATAGACCTGGTTTAGTCCTTAGGTTTAGACCTTGAATAATCCTGGAATAGTCCTGAAATAGACCTGGTTTATTTCTGGTGTGGTCCTGGTTTAGTCCTGGTTTATCACTAGTTAAGACGTGGTTTAGTCCTGATATAGTTCTATTTTAACTCTAGTTTAGACCTGGTTTAGACTTAAAATAGACCTGCTTTAGTCCTAGTTTAGCCTTAGTTTAGACCTGGTTTAGTCCTGGTTTAGACCTTGATTAGTCCTGTTTTAGTCCTGTTTTAGCTGTAGGTTAGACCTCATTTAGACCTGGTTTAGTCCCAGTTTAGTCCTGGTCTACGTAGTCATGGTGAAGACCTGGTTTAGCCCTAGTTAAGACCTGAAATAGACCTGATTTAGTCCAGGTTTAGACCTTGAATAATCCTGGTTTAGTCCTGAAATAGACCTGGTTTATTCCTGATGTGGTCCTGGTTTAGTCCTGACATAGTTCTATTTTAGCCCTAGTTTAGTCCTGTTTTAGACCTGAAATAGTCCTGGTTTAGTCCTAGTTTAGACCTGGTTTAGCCCTAGATTAGACCTGATATGGTTCTATTTTAGCCTTATTTGATTCCTGGATTAGTCCTGGTTTAGACCTGGCTTAGTCCTGGTGTGGTCCTGGTTTAGTCCTGGTTTATCAGTAGTTAAGATGTGGTTTAGTCCTGATATAGTTCTATTTTAGCCCTAGTTTAGTCCTGGTTTAAACCTAAAATAGACCTGCTTCAGTCTTAGTTTAGCCTTAGTTTAGACCTGGTTTTGTGCTAGTTTAGTCCTGGTTTAGACCTAGTTTAAACCTGGTTTAGACCTGGTTTAGTCCTAGTTTAGACCTGGTTTAGACCTGGAATAGTTGTGGATTAGACTTGAAATAGACTTAGTTTTTAGTTAGTTAGTTTAGTCCTGGTGTAAACCTCAAATTAGCCTGGTTTAGTCCTTGAATAGTCCTGGTTTAGTCCTGATGTAGTCCTGGTTTAATCTTAGTTTAGTCCTGGTTTAGACCTGGTTTGGTCTTGGTTTAGACCTGAAATAGACCTGGTTTACTGCTGGTTTAGTCCTGGTTTAGCCTTAGTTTAGACCTGGTTTAGACCTGGTTTAGACCTGAAATAGTCCTGGTTTAGATCAGATTGGTCCAAAATAGAGATACTGGGACATTTCTTGTATAAAATTTGGACAAATCAGTGTTTTTTGTATAAATCTACAGCGACGAGGGACAGAGACTCAAAACTGGGCCTGTCCCGGGTCAACAGTCCGGACCCTCTCACATAAATATAAATATAAATATAAATAAAATCCTTTTCTTGTTGAGTATTTGTCCACAGACTCTTTCCGTCCGTTGGGGAGCCTGGACTTGTTCGAGCCGTAAACGCAGCATTACGAGCTTTTCTTTTATAAGTGAATAAACGAGAGCGTGTGCGTAATCATGACGAACGCGCCGTGAGTATTTACGAGCTGCGCCTCTGATCCGACTTCGCGTTTTACACCAACAATGGGCTGAATGTGTGGTTCTGGAGAGGGACTCGCCGGGCTCTTTGTTTATTAAAATCCATTAGATTTTCCACATTAAGCTCGCGTCTTTATCAGCGCGAGCTCGCAGCCAGCGCCGTTGCACAAGGTTTAGAAGAAACGTTTTTCTCAGTACGACTTTTATCTCAATGTTCTGAGAAAGGTAAAAGTGAGGCTGAAATAAAAGACCGCGAGCTTAAGGTGACCGGACGTCTGAGGCCCAGATCTGAGCCTGTGTCCCAAAGGTTTTATACAAAAAACACTGATTTGTCCCAATTTATACAAGAAATGTCCCAGTGTCGTTAGTTTGGACCAACCTGAACTAAACCAGGACTAATCTAAGACTAAACCAGGACCAAACCAGGACTAAACCAGCACTATTCAAGGTCTAAACTAGGGCTTAACCAGGACAAAACCAGGTCTATATCAGGTCTAAACCAAGACCAAACCAGGTCTAAACCAGGACTAAACTAAGATTAAACCAGGACTACATCAGGACTAAACCAGGACTATTCAAGGACTAAACCAGGCCAATTTCAGGTCTACACCAGGACTAAACTAACTAACTAAAAACTAAGTCTATTTCAAGTCTAAACCACAACTATTTAAGGACTAAACAAGGTCTAAATCAGGTCTAAACCAGGACTAAACCAGGTCTAAACCAGGACTAAACCAGGTCTAAACTAGGTCTAAACTGGGTCTAAACCAGGACTAAACCAGGTCTAAACTCGGTCTAAACTGGGGTCTAAATCAGGACTAAACCAGGTCTAAACCAGGACTTAAACCAGGTCTAAACTAGGTCTAAACCAGGAAACTAAACCAGGTCTAAACCAGGTCTAAACCAGGTCTAAACTCTAAACTAACTAGGTCTAAACCAGGTCTAAACCAGGTCTAAACCAGGACTAAACCAGGTCTAAACTAGGTCTAAACCAGGTGGGTCTAAACCCAGGACTAAAACCAGGTCTAAACTAAACCAGGACCAGGTTAAACCAGGTCTAAACCAGGACTAAACCAGGTCTAAACCAGAAACTAAACCAGGATTAAACCAGGACTAAACCAGGTCTAAACCAGGTCTAAACCAGGTCTAAACCAGGACTAAACCAGGATTAAACCAGGTCTAAACCAGGTCTAAACCAGGTCTAAATCAGGACTAAACCAGGATTAAACCAGGATTAAACCAAGACTAAACCAGGTCTAAACCAGGTCTAAACCAGCTCTAAACCAGGACTAAAACAGGACTGTCACTACTCTGATCCCTGTCAACAGAAAAGTGGAGCATAAAATGTCATTTGTTTTGCCAAAACACAGAAATCCGAGTTTACAAATGACCTTAAAGCAAAAATAATGCAGCGCCGGACGTAAGAATCTCTTAATTTAAACAAAGAGACTTGTTATTCGATATATTGTGATGATCCTCGATATTATTGTGAGAACTTTGACGATACGATATCACAATATTTCGATAATTGTTGTGTAAATATGTAGATTTATTGTGTGTGAATGAGTGCGTATACATGCACATCAATAACCCGGTTATGATCGGGTTTTTTGAGTATCCCGGTTTCTTGATGGTGCATGTAAACGCAGTAACCCGGTTACTGCAACATAAAGTTGAGTCGCATGCGTCCAAAAGACACTTTCCAGCCTTTCACCACAACAGTAGTGACATAAATAAATTGACCAACATAAATAAAGTGACCAAACGAGTGAAATGACTGTAAAATAAAGAGCTGCGCTAAACCTGCACACGTACGACCTGCACTCGTACGACCTGCACTCGTGTGACGCTGAAAAGCTAAAACATGAACTATCTCCTATACTCTATATGCACGAGAACACACTTACCATCATCAGCACCTCTTCTGTCACAGAAATAACACACATAATCCACAGAGTCGTGTCATTTAGTCCAAAAGAAACTGATCACATCAGCGGCACAAGGAGCGAGTTGTTTTTATCGCCGCTAACAGTTTATGCTAATTAGCCAAACGGTCTTAAGTTTCGTTTCTGTAAAACGTAAACAAATGTGATCACAGCTGAATGATCTGATCAAACGGGCTGATGTGTCTATAGTGTTTATGGTTTATATGTTGTAAAGTTGAGTTTATTTATGCAGAAGATTTTAATGAAGAATCTGCACAGTGGATTGTGGGAGATCTCGTAGCTCCTTAGCTTCTTATGCTAAAGGAGCTCACGGTTTGTATTTTTCCTGGTTTATGAAATCGATTTAAGTTAATTTTTTGCGCCTGCGCATTTGTAAGATTATGTCAAGAAACCGGGATACTCCATTTGATCATGTACACATATGAGTGTCCCGGTTTCTCAGTGCTGCATGTAAACACAGTAACACGAATACTGACAGAACCGGGATATGGCTAATAACCGGGTTATTGATGTGCATGTATACACACTCATTGAAACAAATTAAAAAAAAACAACGCACTTTTTCAGATGAATGTAGAACAAACCCAAAAAGAAATGTTTAACCTCATCCTTTTTACAGAAATGATTTACAGACTCCTTTTGATTTGTACTCGAGTAAAAGTATTTGATTCCGCGGTCTCACCTTTTGCTCTCCGTCCCGGCAGATGGATTACATCGCGGGCAGCTTCTACGACGGCTTCCTGCTGTACGCCATGGCCCTGGAGGAGAATCTGGCCGAGGGCGGAGCCATGAACGACGGCATCAACATCACCATGAGGACGCAGAACCGACGATTCTGGGGTGAGACCACAGAGACTCCTTCAAAATCACTGGGGAATTGGGTTTTTTTTTTTGGAAAGTTTTTTTGGGGCTTGTATTATGAAAAATCAACTTGGATCTGTTTTCCGTCTTATTCTCCAAACAAAAAGTGGTTTTATTTGTCATCCATGCATGTTTGAGTAATTTAGTGATCTCTCCTGAGCCCTGTACGAGCCCTCCTTATTTACACTGTTTTAGTCCTGGTTTAGTCCTGGATTAGTCCTGGTTCAGTCCTGGTTTAGTCCTGGTTTAGTAGTCCTGTTTTAGTCCTGGTTCCTGGTTTAGTCCTGGTTAGTTTAGTCCTGGTTTAGTCCTGTTTAGTCCTCCTGGTTCAGTCCTGGTTTAGAGTCCTGGTTTAATCCTTGTTCAGTCCTGGTTTAGTCCTGTTTTAGTCCTGGTTTAGTCCTGGTTTAGTCCTGGTTTTAGTCCTGGTTCAGTCCTGGTTCAGTCCTGGTTTAGTCCTCCTGGTTTAGTCCTGTTTTAGTCCTGGTTTAGTCCTGGTTCAGTCCTGGTTTAGTCCTGTTTTAGTCCTGGTTTAGTCCTGGTTTAGTCCTGTTTCAGTCCTGTTTTAGTCCTGGTTTCCTGGTTTAGTCCTCAGTCCTGGTTTAGTCCTGTTTTAGTCCTGGTTTAGTCCTGGTTTAGTCCTGGTTCAGTCCTGGTTTTCAGTCCTGGTTCAGTCCTGGTTTCCTGTTTTAGTCCTGGTTTAGTCCTGGTTCAGTCCTGGTTTAGTCCTGGTTTAGTCCTGGTTTCCTGGTTTCAGTCCTGTTTTAGTCCTGTTTTAGTCCTGGTTCAGTCCTGGTTCCTGGTTTTAGTCCTGGTTCAGTCCTGGTTTAGTCCTGTTTTAGTCCTGGTTTAGTTCTGGTTCTGTCCGTACGCAGCGTCTCGATCGATGTTTCTTGTGTCTGTGAAGTGATGTTGTATTTTTGAGTCGAGTTGCGTCTGTGAGTTCGTGTTCATAAGAATGTAATTTTCTTTGACGTCGCAACTTTCCAATTCGTGTTCTGATGGATAAAACACACACAACACATTTTATTTAGGACTGGACTCAATCAAGAGTTTACGAATATTTAATTTACGCTCAACTACAGACAAATACGCACATGAATATTTCTGAAATCTTTCGTACTTTCCCCAGTTGTGTTTCACGTTTATAGACCCAGTGTGTTTGAGAGAACGGTTCTCGTCCGGTGACACGAGGCCCTCGTCTCTCCCACAGAGAGCCGCTCCCCAGGGTGCTGATTGTTTTGGACATGATGAATTGTTGCAGCAATTAAGGATTTGTTTTAAGAAAATGCTATAAATAAATGTAGTTTTCATGGGAAATGGCTCGGCTCCAGGTCAGAGCAGAGGTGGGCAGAGCTCATCGTGTGCAAACGTGATCGTCCAAACAGATTTGTGTATTTCAGTGACGGGAAAGGAAGGAGCTCATTCTCCACCCGTCATTTACAAACAAAAACTAAACAAAAACACATTTATCTCCTTCAGGTTAGCAGAGTTTGCGGAAATTTGCTCAGTTTTTCAGTCCCATGTGATATGAAAAAAATGGAATTAGTCTACGTTCAGACTGCAGGGCTTAACGCTCAGTTCAATTTTTTGTGAAATCTGATGTTTTTGCGAGGTCGTTCACATTTCCAATTAAATGCGACTTGCGAATTAAATGATTTGTTTTTTTCAGCTTTCGATTTTATGTTTAAATGAAGAATGGAAAAAACGGATAACGACCGTTTCCCATTTACGTGACTCCCATGACTGCGATGCCGGATTTTGCACCGCATACAGACTGAACCAGGTCCAGGACCAGACCCAGACCAGGACCAGACCCAGACCAGGACCAGACCCAGACCAGGACCAGACCAGACCAGACCAGGACCAGACCCAGACCAGGACCAGACCAGGACAGACCAGGACCAGACCGGAGGCTCAGAGCCCACTGCAGGGCTGGAGCTCGAAGCTGAGGCTCGGACCCCATGGAGACTTGGAGTCAAAGCTCGGAGTCCGCTCTGGTCCCGGACCTGGATCAGTCCTGGTTCAGTCCGTATGTGGTGCAAAAGTCCGACATCACAGTCACAGGAGTCACGTAAACGGGAAACAGTCGTTATCTGTTTTTTTCCCCATTTTTCATTTAAACATAAAATCGAAAACTGAAAAAACAAATCATTATCTGTTTTTTTTCATTTTGGTTTTGGAGACAAATAATGAAGAAAACTGTTGTTTTTTCGTTTTCTTATTTTTGGTTTCATATTGAAAAACGAACGAACGAACGACACACAGATTCAAGAACCCTGGAAGTGTGAGTTCGGGCACCAGCCAATCGGCGAAGAGCCATTTATTTAGCGTTGACAACGATCCCCCAGATCCCCGAGGATTTAAAGCCGGAACAAAGAGAATGTTTGGTGAATTTTATCAAGGGGAAAGACGTTATTGTCCTTCTTCCTACGGGATTTTGGAAAAGCTTAATACACCAGTTAGACCCGTTAGAGACGCATTACAAACGTCACGACCAAACAGCAACGGTTGGTTAAATAAAAAAAGTACCCGCCTACTGTCGAGTGAACGAATCCTAACACTGCGAGGTCACACGGTTTCTACAAAGTGAAACAAAGATGAATCAGGCTAATAATAATAATAATAATAATTATCTGAAGAACTGTTCATATGTGACGTTAACAGTCTGTTGTTCTCTTTTCTATTGTTTTTACTAGAACTTGACTTTCAACAAGAAATGTCGGTTCCTGGACTCTGATTTTAAAAAATAAATTTCCCCCGAAAAGTGCGACTTCTATATGTTTTTTTCTTCTTCATTATGCACTTTTTGGCTGGTGCGACTTACACTCCGGAGTGACTTATAGTCTGAAAAACACAGTCACGTTAGTGTTTCTCAAATCAAATATTTTGGTTCCTTTACTGAGCTCTGGTTTAAAGCTGCATATTTTCCGCGGAAAAGGTGTGGACCTGGCAGCACTGATCTGACATTTCATTTCGACACATTACATTTGTTTGAGCGACGATTCAGGCATAAAAAACTCCAGATGACAGCTCGAGTTTTGGCGTCAAACCCAAAAGTCAGTCGGTTGTGCTCAGGGTCATTAGGCGCTAAATGCGACGTGGAGAATCAGATTTGTTTCAGGTTTCATGTTTGGTGTTTATGGCGCAGTGAGCTCCAGTCACACAGTGTTCCGTTTCCCGCTGAGGACGTTAGACTCGCTACAGAACTACGCCGCCTTTGTGAATCGCTAATTGCAAACATAAAAGTTGTGAATTGATGTTGATTGCGGTTCAGCCTTAGTGACTGAAGCTTCACAACGTCGCCTCGTCTGGTGTGATCCAGCCGGGCTTCACAACGCCGCACAGTCCAATCTGGATTTGCTGTTTGAGCTGCACAATTATCAAATCATAAAAGCTGCAATTATTTAGATAATAAGTACCTCTGTGAAGAACAAATTACCCTGTTTTTTTCTAGACGAATCTGATTATCCTGGTTGTATTAAAGAGCCAATCTCATGCAAAATAACTCTTTTCACTTCTTTTCTAACTTCTTTTCTTCTGCACATATTTCTTATTTTATTTATTTGTAAAGGGACAGTACATATAAATGAACATTAAAAAATGTAAATACGTAAAGATTATAGCCCACGTGGCTCATTTCCATCTTCAGTTCCTCGGCAGGTTGATGTAAAATCATCAACAGGACAAAGAAAAGTACAGCAACAACCACACAAGAACAATTTGGGTTTTGGAACATCCATTACATCAAACATGTCCAAACTACGGCCCGTGAGCCAAATGCGGCCCTCAGACATATTTTTCTTGGCCCTCAGGCTTCCAGGAGAATTGGCCCAAATGACAATGCATCAATTAAAAATGAACTTTTTACTGCAAGTTTTTTTTTTTTTTATTGTATTTGTGCAGCACAATTCGTACACAAAGTAACTCAAAATGCTTTACAGAATAAGAAATACATTAAAATCACAATAAAAACAAATCAAAACATAAATAATCATAAAAATTAAAATTAAAAAAGAGAGATAAATTAGAGGGAAGAGTGTGGAATAAAAAACTTTCAGTCATGTGCACAGTGAGTCTGGATTTAAACAGCGTCACAGAAGAGTCTGTCTCACATGTTCAGACTGTTCCAGGTTTTAGCTGCATGAACCTGAAACTCTGACTCCCCTTGTTTAGTCGTGACTCTGGGCACCAGCAGGAGTTGGTCCCTGAGCTCCTCAGAGTGTGAGATGTTCATATGACACTAACATGTCACAGATGGACTTTGGTGCTCGGTCATGGAGACACTTGTGTGTACAAGCGAATATTGAATATTTAGTTTGTGGTTTAAAGGATCTTAGCATGAATAAAGTCTGACGGTTCATTCTAACGTGTGTAACATGCACATATTTCAATTATTCCCTGTACTGAGCTCCAGTCTGCAGCCCTCTGCTTCATCTGTGTTTAGATTATGTGGCCCTTGATGAAAAAAGTTTGGACACCCCTGAATTACATCAACATACAAAAAATATACCAACATACAAAACATACACTGAACACACACAGGCACAGGTAAGACTTGTCCAATCACAGAAGAACATAAAGTAAACCAGGATCTAAACCAGGACTATTCCAGGACTAAACCAGAACCATGTCTAGTGTATAATACAACTATATCAGTACTAACTAATGGGAAAATGTGACTTTTTAAATACAAAAATCTGAATAAATAATCCTAAAAACAGCAGAGGCGGGAAACATTCTGAAGCTGTTTTTGTGAAAAGTTACAAAAGTGAGATTTACTAAAAGAAACGGACGAGGATCCCAGACTCACCATCCTCACGGCTTTGTCCATGTCACAGTCACTGAAGATGATCAGAGGAGACTTCCCCCCCAACTCCAGAGAAACCTTCTTCAAGTTACTCAGAGCGCAGCTACACACACACACACACACACACGCACACACACACACACACACACACACACACACACACACACAC